ACCCCAGGTAATTCTGAGGCACATCTCTAGTTGAGAACTCACGGAGGTTTGTGGAGCAAGAGAATAACAGATCAACAAAAAGGAGCTTTTGGAAGGTTAATCCAGCAGAGAGGTGGCTCCTGTATTGCCCAGGTAGCAGCTGATGCAACCTGAGCTTGGGCTGCGGCCAGGGAGTAGAGACCAAGAGATTGAGATAGGAGATATTTAGAATGAAGCATCCATCGGAAGAACGTGACTGATGGGTTCCAGAGTAGGAAGGAGGCTCAGAGACCTGGGTTGGGCAGGAAGGTAGGTAGACACGGGTTTGGGAGAAGATGCTGGGCCCAGTTTTGGATGGATTAAGTTTGGGGTACCTTTGGGGTGCATCCAGAGGGAGGTGTCCAGCTGACCATGGGCTCTAGGGGAGGTCTTTCCCTGCAGGAGGACATGGAAACTGTCTCTCAGTGAATCTGGGCTGGCCATGAGAGAATAGGGAAGATTCAACCTCAAGGTGACACAATTTGAAACTGTTCTGTTTCTAGAACATTTTATCGGTTGAATCCCCTCTTCCCCATTCTGGCCAGATTTATCCATCTCCCTTCAGAAATATCAAGTTCACCTTCTCGCCATCTTATTGCGGGATTTCCTTGCAAATTGCTAGGGAGCTTTTTAAGCACAAGTCACCCGCACTCCTGGGGGCTTCGGCAGCAGTGTGTGCTGAGCAAGCCTGCAGGGAGGGATGGGGGGCTGAGGCAGCAACTCCAGCCCTCAGGCCAAGGGCAAGGTGGGTCAGGCTCAGTGGGAGCCCCATTTCCCCTGCCCCACCAAGGCCGGATCCAGGGCCAGCATCTCTATCCCAGCTCAGTTGCTGGTGGAGAAGCCCTTGCCTGGTGATTACTGGTGGTCATAGGAGGAAGAGCATGTGAACTAAATTTTGGAGTCAGCCTGTGCTGTGTGACCCTGGGCAAGCCCCTCATCTTCTCTGATGCTCAGATTTCTCCTCTCCAAGATGGGTTCGTGGTGAGAGCAAAGAGGTAGAAAATGATGTACAAACGTGAGGGAGGGTTATTGGGAGCAACTTCAGTAGCAAGTAGACAACAGTTGTTCTATGCCAGGCACTCTGCATGCATTGACTCATTTTAGCCTCAGGACAAGCTTATGAGGAAAGGAGTGTTATCCTCCCCATTTTACAGAGGAGGAAGCTGAGGCTCAGAGGGGTCAAGGTCATGCAGGGAGGACACGTGGGAGCTGGGATTTGAGCCCAGGCCTGGCTCCTTTCCATGGTGCTCTGCCGCCTCCAGTCAAGCAGCACAGGACATAGTAACCACAGGAGGTAGGGGCCTGCCTGGGCTCCTGGCAGCCGGGGCTGGAGCAGAGGCCCTCTTCTGACTCCATTCCTGACTCCTGGCCTGTGTCAGGGCCTTGGCCGCCCCCATCAGGACGTAGCACCTCATCTGAGGAGGGAAGGAATGTTGCGGTCTGATGTGGAGGCCGCTGCTGGTGGGGATGGGCGTTGGATTATGGGTGAGTCCTGAGGAAGAGGCCTCTCTGGCCTGGCCACACAGAACACACACACATCCCCTCACTGGGCTCTTACCCCAACCTGGGGGAGTCGGGGGGGCGGTGGCTAGGGGTTCCAGCGGAGCCGGGAAGGGGGCCCAGAGTCTCAAAGAGAAGGCAGGCTTACCGTAGTAGCAGCGATCTAAAGAATGTACAGCATCGGAGCCTGGCTGTCCGCGTTCACAGGCGGGGAGAATTGCCCAGCAGAGCCCAGGGTACACTTCGCCCACAGACAACCAGGGACAAAGCTTCCACCCGTAGCCACCTCCTTCCCCACACTCATCCTCCAGGGGACAGCCAGTCTACCCACCCTGGGCTCTGATCCCCTTGAACAAGTCATTTGATGGCTCCAGGGCTATTTCCTCATCTGGAGGACACTGCTAAGAATACCTACCAGTGCACCCACGTGGAGAAACAAAGGGAAAAACAAGCCCCTGTCAGGATTCTTGGTGGTAATAATAACAACTACAACATATTCCTGGTATTCCGTCTCTCAGTTCTCACACAGTCCTTTGCTGGGTACGCACTAGCAGTACCCTAATTTTACAGATGAGGAAACTGAGGCACAGAGAAGTTAAGTAATCTACCCAAGAGCACACAGCTGTAGGTGGCCCATGGCTGTGTTCCTAACCACTGCCCCACACTTCCCCAGCACTCAGTGAGTTCTCAGTAAATGTCTCCTCCCTGGGCTGTACACCCCAGGCTTGCTTCCTCCACCCACCGTCTGTCCACAGAGCAGCCTAAGCGAGTGTCCCATGATGCAGATCTGACCCTGGCTCTCTCCTACTTAAAACCCTTCATGAATCCCCAGTGTTTTCAGGAGTAAGTGCAGATCCTCAGCCAAGTTTCAGGGCCCTCCACGAGCGGCTCTACCACCCCCAGCCTTAGCTCCTGCCACCCAGACTCTCTGCAGGCACCAGCCAGTCAACCTCCTCCAAGCTTCCAAAGTGCCAGGCCCTTGCTTGTCTTTGCATATATGACTTGCTCTCCCTGGAATGCTCTACTCGTGCTTAGAGATGTCCCCTGGGGTGCCCTCCTCTGAGCAGTCTTCATGGGTGTCTTTTTCTGTGATCTCAGAGCTCACTACATCAGCTTCTCTCATGGTTGAGAAGGTCAAGGATGTACCTACCTCTATTTCTTCTGCACCTCCAGCTATCACCCAGAGTCTGGCTGAAGCCAGGGGTTCAAACAGGTGTCTGAGGGCTCAGAGCAGAAATGGAGTGCCTGCTGCCCTTCCCCAGAGGGCCCTGGGACACTCATGGGGACTGGGCTTGGCAGAAAGCCCAAGGGAGCCTTGATCTCACCTGGGTCCTGGTGGCTTCAGTGAGAGCTTAGTAGCCATGAGGCCTGCGGTGTTGGTTTGTTGATAGAGCCATAAATAGCTGTGTCCTGAGAGCCTGGAAGCCCAGGATGGGCTGGCTGAACCAGCTAGGGCAGTGGCTGGCTGGGGCTCCGAGAGCCCGGCTGGTGTGTGAGGGCAAGGTAGGCTGGAGGCGGTGACTGGGCCTGGCACCTACCGCTGATCTCACCAAGCTGAGTCTTGCAGGCACAAAGTCCTGCTGCCCCAGGGACCAGTGACCACACTTAGACACTGGGTATGTGGCCTCCCAGGGTGGGATTGAAGGAAAAGGGAGGAGGGAAGGGAAACCACTAAATGGAGGTCATTTGAGCCTCACTATGAAGAGGCCGGGTATGGAGAGTCATCCATTTTACCACTGAGGAAATGAGGCTCAGAGAGGTTATGTAACCTGTTTAAGGTCACACAGGATGTGGGGAAACAGATTTGTAGGAGACGCAGCATAAACCAGTGATTTCTATCTGGAGGCAGATATCCAAAGCTGGATGTTCCCAGGTGAAGCTGTGTGAACTTGTGACTTCTCCTCTCTGAGCCTCTGTTTCTTTAGCGGTATTAATAATGGCTCACACTTAAGACACACTCACTATTGCTTAGGCTCTGTTCTTTACCTATATTAACTCTTTTAATCCTCACGACAACTCCGTGAGGCAGGAGCCCATTTTACAAATGAGGAAACAGAGGCACAGAAAAATTGGGTTGCCCACAATCTCACAGTTACTGGCCTAGGCTCCAGACACCATGCTCTCAGCCCTGTGCTCTAGAGTGTCTGTAAAATACGGGCTTGTTGATCCAACAGATATTTCCAGGGCTCCTACTATCAGCCAAGCAGGCACTGTTCTGGGGATATAGGAGGGAACTAGACACAAGTCCCTGCCTCTAAAGGTGCCTTCAGTAGAGTTGGGGAGACAAAAAATAAGAAAACACAGATATTTCAGATGGTAGTACGTGCAATAAAGAAAAGAAAAGCCACTAGATAAGGGGACAGAGAGAAATGGGAGGTGTGTGGTCAGGGAAGGCTTCTCAGAGGAGGTAATGTGTAAGTTAATGTGAGGGAATGAACTCAGGGAATATCGGAGGGATAGGGGTTTCAGGATGAGGGTACCAAATCTGCAAAGGCCCCTGAGGCTGGAGTGGAGTGAAGGAAAGAGTGGCAAAAGGAGGGCCTTGAGGGAGGGTGTCAGCTCACATAGGTCTTGAAGGCCAGGCTAAGGACTTTGGAGGTAACGATACCCCCCCCATGCACAGATATTATTAAAGGGTGTAACGCACCTGAAACCTGGGATGTAGTAAGTGCTCCGTAAAAGGTCTCCATTCATATTTTTTTACTGTTGTGGCAAAATACACATAACATAAAATTTACCACTTTAACCATTAGCAAGTGTACAACTCAGTGGCATTTATGTAGTGCATTCATAAAGTTGTGCAACCATCACCACTACCTAGATCCAGAACATTGTCATCACTCGCTCCAAAAGGAAACCGTGTACCCACCAAGCAAACACTCTCCGTTTGCTCCTGTCTCTACATCCCGGGAACCACTAATCTGCTTTTTCTATGGACTTGCCTATTCTGGACATTAAATAAGTGGCTCTTTCATTTAGTATAATATTTTTCAAGGTTCATCCACGTTGTAGCATGTATCAGTACTTCATTCCTTTCTATGGCTGAATCATATTCCATCGTGGGGCTATACCGCACCTTGTTTACCCATTGATCAGCTGATGGACATTTGGGTTGTTTCTACCTTGTGGTTATCGTGAATGGTGCTGCTGTGAACATTCCTGTACAAGTCCTGGCTTTAACACCTGTTTTCAATTCTTTAGGTATATACCCAGGGGAGTAGAATTATTGGGTCACATGGTAATTCCATGTTTAACTTATTGAGAAACAGCCAAACTGTTTGTCACAGTGGCCATTACTCTTTTCATTGTTGTTATTATTATAAGGCTTCTATTTCCTTGTAAGGAAATTTGTTTCCTTCTCAGCCCACTCTAATGGTGCCCCCAAAGGCCAGGGGGGCCGGATCCTGCTACCTGTCCCTCCCTCTCCTTCTCTCCCCCTCCCTCCAGCGCTGGCCTTCGGCTCACCGGGGCCCCTCTTGCAGGTGTTCGGCGACGTGGACCAGGTGCGCATGACCTCGGAGGGCTCAGACTGCCGCTGCAAGTGCATCATGCGGCCGCTGAGCAAGGACGCGTGCAGCCGGGTGCGCAGCGGGCGGGCACGAGTGGAGGACTTCTACACGGTGGAGACTGTGAGCTCCGGCACCGACTGCCGCTGCTCCTGCACCGCGCCGCCCTCCTCGCTCAACCCCTGCGAGAACGAGTGGAAGATGGAGAAACTCAAGAAACAGGCACCCGAGCTCCTCAAGGTAGACTTTCTGGAGTAAAGGCCGGGATGGGACCGCACTCCTGTGTGAATACCTAGCATAGGCTGGCGCTGGCTGTCCCTCCAATGAAAAGGCCACATGTTCTAAGGCAGGGGTCCCATTTCACAGGTGAGGAAACAGTGGCTCCCTGAGAGGAAACCAATTCCTGCCTAAGAGCATTTGGCCAGTCAGCGATGGAGGCAGCATCCTTTGGCTAGCTTACCTGGATAGAGCCCTTTACCACCTAGTAGCATCTATCCCAGTGTCCTGTGGTTTACCCAACCAGGTCATGTGTTAGCACCTCCATGTAGTATTTTGTGGCATTTGATTGTTTTTTATGTAATAACGTTTCCCATATTCACGTACCGCCTTCGTGCCAGACGTTGTGCTGAGCTCTTTTCTTTTTTTTTTTTTTAACATTATTTCTCTAAATTCTTAAACCGTTTTGTGAAGTATGGGATCTTTGTCCTCATTTTAGAGGCAAGAAAACTGAGGCTTGGAGAAGTTAGGTAACTGGCCCAAGCTCTCACATAATGACATGCAGCCGCAAGTCTACACCATATTTTTATGTAAATTTTGTGCTTATAGTCCCCTCCCCCCACCCCACCATAGGAAGATTAGAAAGAGGCGCCACCTCTAGGTGTCACAGCCCTGTGCCGGGCCCACCACCAGGACCCATGGCTTGGACAGGCATGTGCAGGGAGACCACAGTCCCCCATCCAGCCCGGCACCTTCGTGCCATTCACACCATGCGCAACTCCGTGCTTGGCGGGCCTGGTGGGGCTGGGATGTGAACTCACGGCCTGCTGTGTCCAAAGCATGTGTTCTAAATCACCCTGCTCTCCTGTCTTCCTTTCTGTAATAGCCAGATTGGTGGCTTTTGAGAGGATCCTTTTCTTTTATAATTCCTTCCAAACCTGTGTCTGTTTTGCCCTTTTCGTGTCAAGAACTGTGAAGTTGACTGAGATGTTACCCTACTTGTAAGCTAACAAGTTAGCCTGCTAGTTTCATGGACGCTGGCAGTAGACACGAGCCAGAGACAAAGGACTTTATTACTCCCAGTCGCCAGAGTGTCTCCACTTTCTTGCACTGGTTCTCCCACTCACTTCCCACAGGGTGATGCAGTGAGGGCCAGATAACACCTGCACACACAGTGGGATGTTTTCCAAGAGAGGAGCCCCAACTTAGAGAATCCAGATCTCTTATAATGAGCACCAGGCACACCTTCCCTGCTCCAGAGGGAAACACTCTCTGGATGCTCCAAGGCTGTTCACTCTGCAACAAGATGGCCTGGAACAAGGACAGTCAGTGCCTCTGCAGGCAAGACATGCAGAAAAGCAAGAGGCCTGGGAAGAACTGTCTCCCAACATTTGGCTAAAAATGTTTTCTTTAAATTTAACTTTAGTTTTATTTTTGTAACTACTGGATGGATACCAAAACTCTCGAAGTTGGGGGTGGCGATTGAATTTTAGGCCAAGTGGCCTCTTGACAACTTGGCAGTTCCTGGACCACACTGTCTCCCAAACCCAGTAGGGCCCTGCAGACTCCAGGCACTGAAGCCATAGGCCAGTCTTCAGTTACAGGGACAAAACCAACTTTTGCTCAAATCCACTTCTCAACAACTGAATTGTAAGCATACTTGACATGAGGATAGACAAAACCTTTTCCTAAATGCTGGCTAATTTAATCCTTGCTACAGCCCTTTGGAGAGGGAACTTATGTTCCCAGCTTTACTTGGGGGAGGAATCTGAGGCCCAGAGAGGAACTGTGACTTGCCTAACATAACACAGCAAGAAATTTGAATCCAGGAATTCTCTGCTGTGTCCCCTTGCCCAGTGGAGAGGTCACTGGGCAGTTCTCTCAGCCGGGAGCTGTCCCTTCAGTGCACAGCAGCCATGGGGGGTTTTATCCAGCCTTAAAGGACTGGAGTGGGGCAGTGGTGGGATTAACCCAGCAGGAGGGGTCGTAGGAGGAACACAGAGAAGATACTCCGCCTCCTTGATACTGTAGGAGTATAAGTGAGTACCCGACAGGTACCCAGTGAGCCCCAAGAGGAGAAGTGGACAGAGGCAGTAGGAGACAGAGCTGAGGCCCCTCTCATTTGGCTAGGCTCCCCCTCCCTCAGTGGGCAGCCCCCCCCAGGAGAGAAGGTTAGGGGAAGCCACTGTGGAGGGGAACAGGGCAACCCACCCTATCCCTGCCCCTGTCTCTACCCCAACCCTTCCCCTCAAGCTAAGAACTGCAGCTGTGATTTAGCCTTAGTTGCATGGCTCTGAGGAGGAAGAATGGGATTCTAGATTCGCTTTCCTTCTGGACCTGAATTCGGCATGGCCCCACCCTTGAGGAATTCCAGTCCTATGGGGACACAGCTCCTGACCCCAGTAATGTCAGTGCGGTCAGTGCCGGGCCAATGGACGTCCCAGGGACTGTGGGAACCCAGAGGAGGAGGTAACATTACAACTGGGCTTTGAGGGATGTGTAGGAGTCCCTCGAGCAGAGCAGAAATAAGAACATTCTGGGTGAGAGTAAGTGTAGTGGGTGTGACCCAGGGTGCCTCCCTGCCCTCTCTTTGCCCCAGCCCCACTAGCCGCCTGTCAGTTCCACACTGTACTTCTCAAACTATATGTGGTGAAAGACCAGTTTTTCAAACAATCTGTCAAGAACTGGGAATTCCTTGGCGATCCAGTGGTTAGGACTTGGCGCTCTCATTCCCAGGGGCCCAGGTTTGATCCCTGATCAGGGAACTAAAATCCTGCAAGCCACGTGGCTCGGTCAAAAATAAAATCTGTCAAGAACAAACACTCTTGTAAAATACTGTAAAAATGAATTGTTAGGAAAATGAATTGGAATAGAAACAGACACGCAAAATACAAGTCCAGTGTTGTATTATTAGAGTCTACAGATATAAAATTTCTCTGTCAAATGGCTCTGAAAGTTTATAAAAGCCTACGCTCGCTTTCTGTAATTATTTTATCACAGACTGGTAACGAGCAGCTTGGACTTGTGCTGGTCTGCAGACTACATTTTGAGTTGCTCGGCTCAAACACACCATGTGTCTTCACACCTCCAGCTCTTTGCACGAGCTGTTCCCTTTGCCTGGAATGTCCTTCTCCGGCCATCGTTGTCTGATTTGTGCTCCTTCTTCAGAGCTCAGTTCAAACAAAACTTCCTGCTGGCAGCCTTTACTAAACCACACACACTCCCAGACAAGGTCAGTGCCCCATCGTTAATGACCTGGGCACCTGTGTGTGTTCCCACCTGCATTCCCCGATCCAGGCACCTCTGTGTTACTCTGCACTCCTTGACAGCCTGTAAAGGACCATGAAGGCTCGTGTCTGTATTGTCATCACTGTCCTTAATGCCTGGCCCAGAGTGAACATTTGCTGAGGCCGAAGAAGGTGGCAGGGGCAGATCAAGAAGGGCTTGAATGCCAGGGTCAGGAGATAAGTAGTCACACTTGGGCAGTGGGGAGCCACAGCAAGTAATCTAGCAGGGGAGAGACCCATGGTCAAAGTTTTGGTGGCCATGAAGGCAGCAGAAGTGAAGCTAGGAGGTCCCATTTAGCCGCCTGGAATAGTAATCATCATTGCTGGTATTCATGAAGGCCTTGCTGTGTGCCCATTCTGAGCTAAGCCCTATCCAGACGGCACTGCTCCGCTCCACAACCCTGCTGCCCATTTCACAGAGAAGGAAGCTGAGGCCCAGGAGAGTCTCCGTGCATGGTCCTCAAACTGAACTCCACAGAGCCCTGGGGTACCATGCAACCCCTCGGAGTCTGAACAAGGTTGTAGGGGAGCAGAGAAGACTCGAGGCCCTATCCCTGCTTCCACCAGAGCCCCCCACCCCCTTTTTCTGTTTTAGAGATCAAAGTCTATTCAGAGAAGAACTCTGGCTTAAAACAGCTTGAACACCCCTGGGAGAGTGGGAGTAAAACTGTGTTGGAAACAGCTGGCCAAGGCCAGACAGGAGCACCACCATGCTCAGGCCCTGAGAGCGCGTACAGGGGTGGCTGGAGGAACCACCCGCTAGAAGCAAGGGAGAGCTGATCTCCCAACCGGCTCCTTGTGCCAAGGTTTCCCTGACACTCTCGCTGGCATCTTGGCCACTCTAGCTAGGATGCTGGGCTACTAGATGCCCACACCAATCAGGCATTGCCTACAGGCTGCCCCAGGAGGACACAGACTCCCAGGCATTTTGGTGGGCAAATGGCTCTTTGAAGAGAGTCACAGATGCAGACTGTTAAAAGGAGGCACATGGAAGCCAAGGCTGGGCACAAGAAACAGAAGCAGGGATCCAGGGGATGTGGATGGAGCTCCCCCCGTGTCCACTACACACCTCGTGGGGTTGTTCAGGATTAAGTGAAATGGCTCATTCAAGCCCCTATGCAGTGTCTGCCATATGGAAGTGCTCAAAAGAGCTTTTCTTGTGTTTATGAGCAGGCTGGGTCTAGTCAGGCAGACCACTCAGAGGCTCTGGGGTTCACGCTCTGGTGGGGCTCCTTTTGCACCCTCCGTGCCTGGCCGCGTGCTGTGCCTTTTCCCTAACCCTCACCCTTCCCGGGCAGCTGCAGTCCATGGTGGATCTCCTGGAGGGCACCTTGTACAGCATGGACCTGATGAAGGTGCACGCCTACGTCCACAAAGTGGCTTCCCAGATGAACACGCTGGAAGAGGTAAGGGCAGGGCTCGAAACAGAGGCCAGGCTGGTGCAGTGCTGGCGGCCAAGGGCAGTGTCCGAAGGGGCCTAGGTAATTCTGTCTGGACCCTGGTGGCTGTTAGAAGCTGGACTCCTGCAGGGAGCTGGGAGAAGGAGATACAGGCCACAGGGTCCAGCCTTTGAGGAAGAGGTCTGACTGGGCCTCAAGGGCCTGTAGGAAGCTGGAAGGCTGGGTGGAGAAACTGAGGCACCTGCTGGTTGTATGAAAGAGGTGCAGAGGGGTCTGAAACTTGCAGTCGCCCTCAGTTCGCCAAGACCAGGGCCCATATATTGCACAAGTCTGGGGCAACCATTCGCATTGTGCAGGACCGGCCAAGCCCACGGGGGCCAAGCTCGAGGTAGCATGGCTGTTCAAGGACCCACCTACCGTGGAGGCAGAGGTGCTAAGTGTCTTCTCCTGGTCAGGGTAAATGTGCTGGAGGGCTGGGCGGGTGGCTGATACTGCCCCCTGAGGACAGGGACAGAGCTGAGTGAGCATGGAGGTTCAGGCTGCAGGTTTGAGGTTTGCATCTCTGCTGGCACAGCCTGGCCTCCGCCTGTTTCCTGCATCCGGTCCCTGCTGGGCTGCTGGGAGCCTGGGGATATGCAACTGCCAGGAGGGGCGTGAAGGCTTCCTTTCCCAGCTTCCTTTCCACAGGGAGGGGGGCACCTGGGCATCCTGTGCCCCACGAGAGGAGATTAACCCCTTACTCAGCCCAAAGTTGGGGTCACAGTGGCTTCAATTATTCAAAAAGTGTTTGGTGAGTATCTCTTATGTGCCAGGCCCATGCCAGCATGGCAGAATGGTGACAGTCGTTGAATTTCTGCTGTGCACCAGCATTTCCTGTGCATCTAGTACATGCCAGGCTCTCCTGTTGTTGGTTCTACAGTTAGCCTCCTTTGACCTCTCCTCTGGTAATCTTAGGAAATGTTAACTCACTTCACGCAACTGTGAGCCAGACAATCTGGAGGGTATGTCTGCAGAGTCTGGAACAAACCAGAAATGATTTCTGCAGCCACAAGGAAATGATTTTTAAATTATCTTCTGTTTTGCATTATCTGTGCTTTGCTTCTGTTCACTAAGTGATAGCTATGAAAAAAAAAGAAAAAGAAAAAGTTTTTGCTACCACGGGGAGGGGGGGAGGCGGAGAGAACAGCCTCACTGAGGAGGAGACGGCTCCCTCTGCCTAAGGGAAAAACATCGCAGGAGGTCAGGCGACAATCTGGGGTCCCAGCTTCCTTCTGCTTTCTTCCCTTACATCAGTGTTCTCAACCAGGGGTGATTTTGCTCCCCAGGGGACAGCCGGCACTATCTGGAGGCATTTCTGGTTGTCACAGTTTGGGGGAGGTGGGTGGCGGATGCTATCGGTCCTAGCGGGCAGAGGCCAGGGACGCTGCTAAACATCCTACAGTGCACAGGGCAGCCCCACAGCGCCCAAATGTCAGTAGTGCTGAGGCTGAGAAACCTGCCTTACACAGTGTGCCTTCTGTCCACCCTGTGATCCAGGTGGGAGTGGGGCTAGGGGCTGCTAAAGCCAGGCAGAGTCCCCAGCAGTAGGGAGACAAAGAGGCAGGGCAGGAGAACAAGAGGAAGAGTAAAGGTGGGGCTTGGTGCGGTGGGAGGAGCCAAGCCTGCCCAGGAGAGAAGTCGGAGACCTGGAGACTAGGAAGGGATCAGAGACCGTAGCAAAACCCCACAGAGTTCCGGTGTTTGAGTATTTTATTAAAAAGAGGTATTTATGTATTACTTGCTAAATTAAAAGGTAATTTTAAAGTAGCAAAAGATTGGTAGCAACTTAAAAGGTGGCTCCATAAGGGACTGGCTAAATACATTTTGGCCCATCCATACAGTGGAAGCTGGGTGGCGAGAAAAAGGTATTGGGAGTGCTATATATACAGATATGCAAGAGTTCCCAAAATAGGCTAAGTGAGAAAGCAACGTGCAAAGGAAAGGAAGGCAGGGAGGAAGGGAGGGAACGCCCTGCCCGTTCCCCCAGGCCCTGCTCAGGAGACTGGGCAGCAAAGCCTGATGGCAGAAGCTGGGGTGTCCCCCGGGGCTGGGGACAGTCAGAGGCTGGAAAGGTCTTGGGTCCCGCCCCAACAGAGTATCAAGGCCAACCTGAGCCGGGAGAACGAGGTGGTGAGGGAGAGCATGCGCCACTTCAGGGAGCAGCTGGGGCACTACGAGAACCACTCAGCCATCATGATGAGTATCAAGAAGGAGCTCTCCAGTCTGGGCCTCCAGCTGCTGCAGAAGGACGCGGCCACGGCGCCCGCCGCTGCCCCAGCCCCCAGGCCTGGCAGTAAGGCTCAGGTGAGGCTAGGGCTCTTGTGACGGGCCAGAAGGTGGGTGGGCTGGGAGCACAGTGTGCCAGGACCTCGGCCCTGAGGGCCAGCTGGGTGGGGCTTCGGGGCTGCGGGATGGGCCGAGGGCTGGCACAGCGGGGGAGTCCGTGGCAGGGCGGGGGCAGGGGCTGCCTGCTGCTCAGTGAGCCATCAACACAGGTGAACTGGGGGCAGACGTGGGGCTCCAGCCCAGGGACACGGTTGTAGAGATGACCCTCCCTGCCCGGTCCTGGGGAACCAAGTCGGCTGCGGCAAAACCACTTCTAACCTCCCCTGCTGCGGCTGGGCCCCTGGCTGGGTCAGGCCTGCTCATGGGTAGATGGACAGTGCCTTGGGGACCCCAGCCGACTAATACCGCTTCATCCAACCCATCCTGGGGTGGAGAACTCCTGCAGCAAACACCCAGCCTTCCATATTCAAACTCAGCGCACAAAGTGAGCAAAGGCCCTCACCAGGCTGAGCCACCAGACACACAACACACCTTCGGGCAGATTTGAAAAAGGCCCTCTTGTAGGCAGACATGCTGCAGAAAAGGCTCTCCCACAGGCCAGATAAATTAAAAGGAGGAGCCCCCTTTGGGTGGACAAATTGTACAAAGGCTCCTTCCTGTGACAGACACGTACCAGGGTGTGCGGCTTGGCAAATGGAGTACAGACTAGACTTCAGTCCCATTCGTGCCCTTTTGACCAGTTCCACATGCAGGATACAGCCCACCACTCCCACAGCGGCCTTGTGTTTTGGTTAGTGGAGGAAAAAGGGAGCTGACTTCTTCGCAGACATTATCTCAGTTAATCTTATAGCCACCTGCGAGGAAGGATGCTCGTCGCCAGTTTGGCAGATGAAGAAACACGGAGTGGGGTCACTCAGAGAAGGTGGCTGTGTTGGAACCCGGGCCTGCCTGACAGCCGAGCCCACGCTCTTCCTCTCCACCCCTCAGCCTCCGTGCTGACATTTTGACAATGGGGCTATTTGTGTCTGCAGCAGGGACCACCTAGATGCTGATAAAGCAGGGAGGAAGCCTAGTGTCTTGACCCAGAGCTGGCTTCCTGCTCATTCGTGTGCCAGTTCCACAGTAAGAATGAATCCTGTTTGGGCAGTGGCACAGAAGGTCTAGATCCTGTACTTATATCTCCTAGAGACCCTGCCTAACAATGGGTGATGTCACCAGCCCTAGGTTCTTGTGCCAAGCCAGCATCAGAGGCATTTAAAAGGAAGCAAAAATAACAAAATTCACAAAATGTTAGAAACAGCATGCCCTAAGGTCAATGCCCCGATGACCAACCATCCCAGTTTGCCCGGGACTGAAGGGTTTCCCAGGATACAGGACTTTCAGTGCTAACACTGGGAAAGTTCCATCACACTGTGATGAATTGGTCACCCTGCCTTGGGGCCTGAGAACCTCTCCCTGCCCACACACAAAGATCAATGAGTGAGAGGGACAGGGATGGGAAGCTGACTTCCCCAGGGAGCACACCGTTGTAGTCTACCCCCAGCGGGGAGTGTACAGGAGTTGGGAAGTAGAACAGGAATCTAACCTATCAGGCTGGGCTTCAAGCCTGCAGGGGAGCTAGAGAGCTGAGTGGGGAAACTGAGGCACACCCCAGTCATGAATGTAACTATGGGAGGAAAGCTGTGACTTCATGAGCACCTGGGATGCAGGGCCAGGAGCAACATGGCCATTACCAGCCCCCACATGCTGAGCCTCCTGACGCCCCGCAACATCCCTTCTACCATCCTCCAAATCTGAGACTTCCCTTCTCCCCCAGGACACAGCTGGAGGGAAAGGCAAAGACAACAACAAATATGGCAGCATGCAGAAGAGCTTTGTAGACAAGGGCCTCCCAAAACCTCCTAAGGAGAAGCTGCTGAAAGTGGAGAAGCTGAAGAAGGAGGGCAAGGGCAGACTCCCCCAGACCACAGCCAAGCCCCGGGCCCTGGCCCAGCAGCAGGCTGTGATCCGAGGCATCACCTACTACAAGGCGGGCAAAAAGGAGATGACCGAGGCCATGGCTGGTGAGTCAGAGGAAGATTGGAACCTTGGGGAGTGGGGGCCCCTACAGGGACCCAGGGTCTTCTCTACAGTCAGACTGCCCCAGATCTCAGCTCCATGGGTTACCTGTTGGTGCCCTTTGCTCGTCCTGGGGTTGTTGGGGATGAAATGATCAAATCAACACAAAGGGCCACTCAGTTCCTCTCCAGTAGTTATAGCTGTCTCCACCCTCACTGGCCTTTTCCTTCTTCATTGAAAGATGTGCGGAAGGTTCACTATGTACATGCTGTACCTTCCGGACTTTCTGCCTAACACGGAGCTCACAGTCTAGTGGGAAAAAGCAAACCCATAACCAGGCAGCTGCCTCTGGTGGGCGGGCAAACACAGGGACCAGACCAGCGTTCTGGGAAGTGACCTGGGGCCTTTGAGGCACCTCCCATTTCCAGACTGGCCTTGGAGTGGATGGCCTCTCCAGCACCTCCCACTCTTTTCTCCCCAAAGAAGAGCCCACAGACTCTTGTATCTTTCTTACAGCTCCCTGCCCGATCACAGTGAAGGACAACAAAATAATGAACCGAGAAACAAGAGACAAAATTTCCAAGAGTTCCCAAATTTCTGGGCCATCCCCACTGGTGTGGCTCCTGATTCTTCCCCTGAGCCCCTCCCCAGATGCCTGCTCTCCTCTGATGTCCCTGAGAGGTTTCCCAAGCCTGCTCCCCCTTCCAGGGTCCTGCTGACCACCTCCTCCAGTGAGGTTCTCTGCCCAGCCCATGCCCAAGGGGGCCAGGGGTAGAACTGTGAGGGACCAGTCTCCCAAGAGCCCCCTCAATTCTTGGCCTCTCAGGGCTCAGGGGCCTCTTCTCCCAGCTCCTGGTGCCAGCTGCTGGCTCTGAGTCCTGCCAGGTCAGCCTAGCCACGGCATAGAGCCGCTGACCCCTGGCCAGGGCTCTGCCCAGGAACAGCTGCAGGCATCTGACTCTGCCAGTGAGGGCCGTGGGAACAAGCCCCTGCCCTGGCAGGCTGCCAAGGCTGGGCCCCACTGAGGCCTGCTGACCAGAGGGGGTGCCCGCATTCCCGAGAGACTCTAGGGGCTGCTCCACAGCAGGGCCTGGCTAAACCTCCGTGCAAAGAGGAAGCCCAGCAGGGAGAGAAAAGGAAGAAGTCAGGTGATTGTCTTGGAGTCAAGGGGCCTCAGTGCATCTCTGGGGGCCACACCATCACGGTAACAACAGCACCATTCCTTTGTCTCTGGCATCACAGCCTGCGGAGTCCTTTCACACATGCTGTTGCACTTGATCCAGCAGAGGAAACAAGCTCAGAGAGGTGAAGTGACAGCCTCCAGGTTTCACGGCGAGTTAGTGGGACTGGAACCCAGAGGCTGAGGAGTTTTTGTCCCCTGCACTGTGCCACTGAGTCTTTCCCTACCCAGACCCCATCCATTCCAACCCAGGAAAGCGTGGGTCAGGGAGGACGCAGAGATGGCCCCAAACCAGTCCCACGGAGCTGAAAAAGTCCTATCAGCAAAGCCCGTGCCAGCAGGAGTGGAAGAAGTGGGGGAGGGATGCCAAGAAAGCTGAGAGATGGGAGATAGGAGATGAACGAGGGGGCAGAGACAGAGAACTGGGGTCCAGAGGTGACGGGAAGCTGGCTGCACCTGCCCTGCCCTACCTGAAGTGGCAAATCCTGGGTGAGAGAAACTAGAGGGTGTTTCCAGGGCAGCGGACTAGGAGAAAGTCTGTAAAATGGGAGCAAGGGTGTCTGCCTCCTGGAATTGGATCCAGGAAATGAAGGAATTGGTACAAAGGGACATTGAGGGGGGAAAGGGGTCTCACATCTGGCACCTCGTATTTGCCAGGATCTGTGCAAATGTCTTGTGCACATTTTCCTCTAATCAACACAACAGCTTGACGTGGTGGACCTCATGACTCATTTCACGGAAGGGGAAGCCGAGGCCCACTGAGGCAGGGGACTTGGCCGAGGCCACTCATCTCAGGGGCCTATAGCCAGTCTGCTGACCATGAAGCCTTCCCCACCTCCCACTTTTCAAGGCCTTTCACTCCTTAGGGGCCACCCGCACGTCTCCCCCATGGCCCCAGCGCTGGGACCCAGTGGGCCTGGACCCCGGGCAGCGGCAGTGCTGCTGGGATGTGAGCACAGGGTCTTCTCTCCACAGATAACGCCCTCAAGGGCACTTCCTGGCTGGAGCAGCGGCCGCCCCGGGTGGAGGGCAGGCAGCCTGAGCCCAACTCAGCAGAGCGTGACGAGACTGGGCCCAGGGCCTCTGAGGGAGCGGACTTGGCCCCTGGCACCCCTGCCTCAGATCCCACCCCCACCCCTACCCTGACTCCCATCACCAGTCCCCTGCCCACCACGCCACCTTCACGCCCAGAAGTCCCCAGCCAAGGTGAGTAAGCCTCCCAGGGGTCAGCAAACTACAGCCCGTGGGCCAAACACAGCCTATAGCCTGTTTTTGTACAGCCCTTGAGCTAAGAGTGGTTCTTACATTTTTTAAGGGTTGTTAAAGAATATGGGACAGAAGTATGTGGTCTGGAAAGTCTAAAATGTTTGCTATCTGATCGTTACAGAAAAAGCTTGACAACATTAACAGTGAAACAAGGTAGTGTTTCCAACAAATTCTTCTTAAAACGTCACCTAGAACCCCATCATCAAATCCAGCAACTATTTTCACTTCTGTATTTCCTCTGTCTAGTCTTTGGCCGTTTTTATCTCCATGTTTATAGTTTTGGCTTGTGTCTTTGGTAGAAATCTTCCTCATTAAGTCATCGATGGAGCCCGTCCTTCTGGAGGGCATCTTGGCTATCTGTGATAACAAGACAAAACCATTCCCTACTTTGGTCCACGTGCATTCCACTTCTAGGAATCTCTTTCCTAAAGGATCCATCAGATATGTGAACAAAAGCTGCAGCTTAACTGGTTTCCTTGCAGCCTGTTTCTAACGTCAGAAAACTGAACATAATCTAAAGGCCTAACACTGAGGGGACTGGTTAAATAAATTCAAGGGCGCAGCTGTCTGGCGGCCTGGTGGAACCTTGAGATCACATCATTAAAAGGCCATTTAATGATGTGAGAGATTGCTCAGTGGAAGGAAAAAACAGGATACCTAAAACTGTATATTCAGAATCATGTTTTTTTTAAAGTATGTCTGCATGACTATACATGCAGAGAAAAAAAAGGAAAGGAAGGAAATACAACATGTTTAAAAATTTCTTTGAATAATAGAATTTTGAATGATTTTTATTTTCTCCGTTCTCCTTTTCTGAATGTTCTGTGTTTTCTACAATGATCAGACATTGCTTTGATCACGAAGAAAGAAAAAAGAAATACATAAGGCTGCAAACAAAACCTCAGGAGGGATTTAAGTAAGACCCAGATAACGTTCCCAGGACTGTTGCTCTGGCTCAGCGTCTGTGGGTCTGTGTACCAAATGCTGCACCCCTTGCTCCCCACAGGCAGAGAGCCGAGCTGCGAGGGCACCCTCCGGGCCGTGGACCCCCCTGTGAGACACCACAGCTATGGGCGCCATGAGGGAGCCTGGATGAAGGACCCCGCTGCGAGGGATGACAAGATCTATGTCACCAACTACTACTATGGAAACAGCCTGGTGGAATTCCGCAACCTGGAAAACTTCAAGCAAGGTCAGGGACCCCTGTGATGGGAAAGGGGCAGGTGTGGGTAGCCTAGGGAGGGTCCCCCATGGAGACTTGGCCCTCCTTTGCCTTGTGGTTTCCTGTGGTCCAGACTTCCCCTGCCTGGCCTAGCTCTGAATGGTCAGCCACCACAAGAAGAGGAGTCTGGGGGCACCCCCTATGTGCTGGCCCCAGGCCAGAAGCTGGAATGCAACAGCAAACAAGATGGACATGGTCTTGCCCTCATGAGTGTAATTTACTGTCAAGGGTAACAATGCTTAGAATTTCCACTTGTTGAGTGCTTATTATGTGCTAATCACCAGTGTGTATCAGCTCATGATATCTTTGAGGTGGGGGTTATCACCCTGTTTTACAGATGAGCAGAGCCCCAGGCCTTACAGGACCTTCAGGTCTGGGCAGGGAAGGGCAGAAATTTGGTTATCAGATCTGGAACATGATGAGGGGAAAGGGTCATTTAGACATGAGCTGCCCTCCAGAAATGCACAATCTGATGTGCATGGCAAAGGCTTCAAGAAACAATTTCAATATAGTGCTAGAGGGAGGCCTCGGGGGCTATGGGAACCCAGCCTGGAGATCAGGGAAGACTTTCCAGAGGAGGTGATGCTGAGGCATTCCCCAGGCAGATAGGATGGGAAATGGCAGTCTAGGCAGAGGAAACAGCGTGGGCAAACGCCCTGAAACAAAGCACAGGGGCTGGTAACAGCCTGTATCTAAATCCTGGCTGTGCTGTTCCACAACCAGTGACCTTGAACCCTCTGAGCCTGTTCTCTCCCCGGCAAATGGGATAATAATAGTACCTCCTTCATGGGACTGTCTTGATGGGATCAGATAACTGGCCCAGCTCCAGGCCCATAGCTCACTCAGTATCCTTGCTGGGCCACCCAAGAGCCCTGGTCCCTGGCCTCCCTGGTCCCTGGGGTGGGCTGGGGTTTTTTCGGGAAGCTCTGGTGTGACCTTCCGCCCTCCGCACGCAGGCCGCTGGAGTAACATGTACAAGCTGCCCTACAACTGGATCGGCACAGGCCATGTGGTGTACCAGGGCGCCTTCTACTACAACCGCGCCTTCACCAAGAACATCATCAAGTACGACCTGCGGCAGCGCTTTGTGGCCTCCTGGGCGATGCTGCCCGACGCGGTGTACGAGGACACCACACCCTGGAAGTGGCGCGGCCACTCGGACATTGACTTCGCCGTGGACGAGAGCGGCCTGTGGGTCATCTATCCCGCTGCGGATGACCACCACGAGGCCCAGTCCGAGGTGATCGTGCTGAGCCGCCTGGACCCCGGCGACCTGTCGGTGCACCGTGAGACCACGTGGAAGACGTGGCTGCGGCGAAACTCCTACGGGAACTGCTTCCTGGTGTGCGGCATCCTGTACGCCGTGGACACCTACAACCAGCGGGAGGGCCATGTGGCCTATGCCTTCGACACGCACACGGGCACCGACGCCCGCCCGCAGCTGCCCTTCCTCAATGAGCACGCCTACACCACCCAGATCGACTACAACCCCAAGGAGCGGGTGCTCTACGCCTGGGACAACGGTCACCAGCTCACCTATACCCTCCACTTCGTGGTCTGAGCGAGACCTGGGCTCACGGGAGAGGAGTGGCCGTGGGCATGGGGGGCTCCCCACAGTGACTCCTGCAAGGGACTCCCTCAGCAAATATTTATTTACTGGGCCCAGGCCTGGAGCTAGGTGCTAGGCAGTGGGCACAGCCAGCGTCAAGCTTCCTCAGCACTCAGTGGAGTAATAATCACTTACATTTGCACAGCACTGCCAAGAGCTTCATGTGCACTAACCCACTTAATCCTCCTGACACCCTTGGAGGTAGAGACAGTTAAGCCCATTTAACAGGTGAGGAGACTGAGGCCTCACTTTGGATCCGGCAAGCCCATTTTACAGATGAGACCTGACCATGCTCTACCCTAACCTCTCCCCTACCTCCAACCCTCTCCCCTCTCCCCTCATTTCTCTTGTTCTCTCAAGTCTATCTCCCTTCCCCGGGGCTACTCAAAACCAGAGGCCTTTGGGACCAACACACTAGTGTTGGGTGGAGGCCCAGCTCTGCATGCCACCCCAGGCCCCTGTTCTGACGGAGCTGTTGGTGGCCCTGGGGCTTTGGGCCCTTTGGCTAATGGGCTAATGTCCTTGTTCCATGCCTTTGGCCAGCCCCCCATCCCCACCCCACCCGCTGTCTGACCACATTCCAAACCTCCACAGTCACCCAGCCACTGAGCAGAAACCACACCCCGAGAAAAAATACCAGCCCCCGTTCCAAGACCCCCCGCCCCGTACTCATTTTTATTTTCTCTTATTCTTCATCAGTGCCGTCACTTGTTTCTGCAGCAGCAGCTGAGAAGGCTGCAGGCAGCTGCCTGTCAGCAGCGACTCTACCAGGGTGGGGAACTGGGCCAGGCCCCGAGGCTCCCTTTTCACCCAGAAGTGCTGGCTTTGGCCACATGCCCAGGCTGTGGGACCTCTCCCCAGTCCCTCCCAGAGCCTTTGCGCCTGGGGTCCACCTCATCCTTTCTCTCTGGGCCTTTGAACCCACAACCTATACGCACTCAGGGATACCTCCAGGTCGGCCACGAGCAAGACCCTAGGCCTGAGGCTGGGTGGCACCAGGATGAAACAGGTTTCTTCTTCCTTGTCAGTCCTAACCTGGTTATTTGGTGGGCTGGCCTGGGGGACCGGGGGAGGCTGAGATCTGGGCAACCAGGTCCAGAGGAGGCTTCGGACCTTCTGGGTGCAGGGAGGAGTCAGAGGTGAAAGCTGGGAGGGAAGGAGAAAGGGATCTGTGGATCAGACTTTTCCTGGCTTCAGAGATAATGGTGCCAGGGCTGCCCCGAGCCCAGGACTTGGGGCTGAGGGTGCACAGGTGGGCTCCCCCGAGCCTCAGACCCAGCAGCCCCGGGGACAAGACCTTCAGGCCTGCCCCACATCTGCTTTGAACAGTATTTTTAGAACTGGAAGAAGTTCTCCCGTCTGACTCCCTATATCTACAAAGGAGAAATAGGCCCAGAAAGGTTTAGAGAATGGCTCAGGGCCACACTGGGAACAGGACCCAGCTGATCTCCTTCCAGAAGGGCTTTGTCTTTATCCTTTATTCTCCACGCTCAGAGGCAGCTAGGCAATAGACCACCCAGCACCCAAGTCATCCCAACACCTTTGAGGGGTGTTTACTGCTGATCTCTACACAACCCCAGACCCTGCTGCTTTCATTCTGTCCCCATGCCAGCTTCCAGGTATCTGTTTATATGAACACCCAGCTGCCATGTTGGGAAATTCAGCTGCATACCCAAGAGTGTAAAGAAATGCATTTTGTGCAGGATACATTTCTTTCAGGCATTGTCAGGTGATGTTGTTTTGTTTAAGCCGTAACTCACTCCCGAAGTAAAGGGGAATGATGGCGCCCAGCCAAGCAAGGCCTGACTCATAGTGGCGGACACATCCAGCCTCCCCCGCCCAGCTGAACTCTGAGGGCTCCACTTAGAAACTCTTCAGGGGGCTGCAAGTCCCAGCGTTTCCCTTGGCCCTGGGTGTGGGTTTTAGAAGACTCTGTCTTTCGTGATATCACAGCCCAGCCACGTGAGAAATGTTCAGGCTCCTCTTTCCCCATTAGTCTTAGAAAAGGGAAAGTTGGAATGGACCAATTTTGGAAAAGGACAAGCAAAATGGTTTTCTCGGGGAGAGGATGCTGGCTGCAGCCTCTAAACATTCACTAAGCCCCTTCTGTTTTCAGGCCCTTGTATGTGGGTTATGTTGTAGGTACAATTATTTTCCTCATTTTACAGATAGTCAAACTGGAGCCCAGAGAGGTTAAGTGGAGGCAGGGTCAAGTGGAAAGCCAGGTTTCCAAATCGGTAATATAACCTGAGCATCAACAGTGGGCTAAGCAAGCCATGTGCATATTCTTGCATCTTCACAACAGTGGAAGGGATGTACTCTGAGTGTGTCCATTTTACAGACGAGGAAACTGAGGTAAAGGGGCTTACCCAAGCACAACAGCTTAGCCTGTAGCACAGTCAGGTTTTCAGGGCTGGTCAGCACATGTTCTTTGCCAACTCTGTGTCACTCTAGCAGCAGCTCCAGAAATGGTGGTCGTTGCTTTTAACCAGTGTAGCCAAGCCACGAATTGCATCTACATAGGAGACCCAAGAAGGAGGTTGGGGTCAGTTTATAAAGAGCCTTGAATGCCAAACCAGAGAAAAGAAAATTCCAAGACAACTGGATTTTGTTCTATCAGTGACAGGAGGCAGGGAAGAGTTTTTGTTGTGGGATTTATTACAGTCGGTAACAGGTACTTCAAACAAAGAAGGAGAGGGCTAGCTTTTCCTACCGACCTCAGCTGTGACAGCAAAGGAAGTTGTCTCTGGTGTTTCTGAACAACATGCTACGTGAAGGGGCTTTGGCTGCCACCTTTGAGTCCTCCCAAGAGATTTCTAGACCTTAATATTTAATTTGCTCTGTCTGGGAGGCAGCCCTAAAGGTGAGGCTGGGCGTTTTTCCTGGGAATGACTTGAGGGCTACTGAAAGCCCGTATGTTCTAAAGCACCTTTTCCTCCATGACAGCGCTGGAAACCACTCTGGTGACAGGAGGACACAGCACTGGATGGTTGTCAGGGAGCCCTGGATAGGAGTTAGGGAGTACTAGGTTAGAATCCAGCTATGCTTCTGACATGCTGCACAGAGGGGACAGATGTCAACTCCCTTTTATGGCTGAAGACCTGCAGCTTAGTGAGGACAAAGGGCAGCTGAGGGCCCAAGCAGTACCCTCCTAGAGCTAGAAGTCACCTTTACATACATTATCACTAATCCACCCAGGAACCCCAAGGTTGGCATTACTTTTCCCTATTACAGGGAGTGAACCTCAAGTTCAGAAGCGTTAAGCAACCTGCTCAGGGTCACAAATCTAACAAGTAGTAGAGTCAAGAGTTGAACCAGGTCTGTTTTTACACCAAAGCCCCAAACTAACTGTTGTTAGGAATTTTGTAACCAGTCAGGTTTTCTTCCTTGCTCTGGCTAATGGGAAGCTCAAAGTCAAATTTGAGATTATTTTTAACAATTGTACTGGGTCTCCTACTGGACTCTGGCTTCATTCTGGCTTTCTGCTTTTACCTTTACCCTGATCTCTTTATTTTTATTATATTGTATTTTATCTATTTTTGTAAATTGCCACAATACCTTTTTTTGCAACAAGGTGGAATATACCTAAATAAATACGTGATCAAAAGCTTGATTTAAAAGTCTTGACTAAATGCTATGGTCTGCATCCTTATCATAACACAGACATTTAATAACTTTAAAACAATACTTTGTTATGAGAATCGGCCTTGTTGCTAGAAACTGATCTGGATTATGAACTAGGGCAGAAGAATCCAACTCAGGCTGACAACCAGGCCCCTCCCAGTGAAGAGGAGAAGGAAGCCATTCCCAAAGGTATGCAGACACTACCTTGCAGCCTCGCCTTCAGCTGCAGAGAGAGAACCCCAGGGAGGGAGCCTTGAGCATCACTTAGTCCCATGTTCTCAAACTTCAGTCCTTCATGTACAGACCCTCGTTGTGATCTTTGTCATTTCCCTCTACCATCTTCAGTATAGTTTGCTATTTCTTTTTTCAATCATTTCATTCTTTTTACTAAAATAATTTTATTTCAAAGGGAAGCTTTATAAGCTGTCAGCAAAAACGAAAACAAAAAGTCTTAAAAAAATTTTTTTTAAGTAGGAATATTACAATAGTAAAAAGAAAGCCAGTGACCACAAACACAAGGTGACCGGGATGCGACACAGAACAAGCAGCACTGTCGCATCCCACTGGACACCGTGCCGGTGAGGCCGGCCAAAGCGCTTTGTGTAAAAAGGAAGATTAGCAAATGTTCAAGGGACATAAAGGGCAAACCAGCAGCAAGTGGATATTGTCCTTGATGTAATCAGAGGGATGGGATTGGAAGGGAATAGCTTCTCCCATGTGGCTTAATGGCCCTTCACGTGGTGGCTTAGGTACCTCCAAGGAGTTCTCAAACCACTGATGGGTGACTTGGATTTAGACTAGTTTCCCAAACACACACACACACACACTCATTCAGCCAGGCCTTCCCTCCCCGGCCTCCCCCAGCTACAGGCCAGCCTCGGCAGAGCCCCTGCCTTGCCTGGTAGCTGGGCACTGTCCCTGTGGCCCTGGGCAATGACGAGGGTCCCAATCCCCACAGTACAGACAGGTCAGAAGCACAATGCGACACCTGCCATGGCAGAGGCTGATGGGAACATGTCCCTCTCACAACTCAGACTCCACTAGGGCTGACCCTAGTCCCAAGCAAGCCAAACATGGCTGGGTTTTAGGTAATCTGGACCATGGCCTCCCCTCTCTGACCCCCTCGCCAGCACCAGTCCCATCTGCTCTCCACCCCATCCTCCCCAGCCTTTGCATCAGCTTTGCATCCCTCTGCCTGGTACACTGGTGCCTGCACCTGTGCGTGGTTGCCTCCCTCTGGTCACTCAGGTCTCAGCTTCCCCAGGGAAACTATCCCTCAATGCTGAGTCTAAAGTCATCCCCATCGGGCTTCCCTGATGGCGCAGTGGTTAAGAATCTGCCTGCCAATGCAGGAGACACGGGTTCAAGCCCTGGTCCAGGAAGATCCCACATGCCACGGAGCAACTAAGCCCGTGCACCACAACTACTGAGCCTGCGCTCTAGAGCCCGTGAGCCACAACTACCGAGCCCGCGTGCCACAACTGCTGAAGCCTGCACGCCTAGAGCCCGTGCTCCGCAACGAGAAGCCAGTGCAATGAGAAGCCCGTGTGCCACAACGAAGAGTAGCCCCTGCTCGCTGCAACTAGAGAAAGCCTGTGCACAGCAACGAAGACCCAAAGCAGCCAAAAATAAATAAATAAAATTAATTAAAAAAAAAAACTTAAAAATAAATAAAGTCGTCCCCATCACAAGCCCTCTCGTCTCTTCACTAGCAGGTATTTATTTATTAGTTTTCCTGCTTAGGGCCTGTCTCCTGTCACTGGAATCTGAGCTCCATGAAAGCAGAGCTTGCTCCCTACTTGTTCATCAGCACCCAGGAGACCCCCAACAAATGTCTGCAAATAACCGAGTGATCTGTCTCAGAACCTTGGGCAAGTTCATGAACAGTCTGCTGAGCAAGCCACCCTTGGTTCCGAGGTCATGGCCACTGAATGGGCCACACTTCTTTCATTTTATTTGTGCAGCATATTTGTTGAGGCCATCCCTAAGTCAGGTTCCAGGCAGAAACCTCTAGAATGCAATCTCAGATCACTAAGGCTGGAGAGCAGATGGGATATTTCCAGTGACTCTCTCCATCTTGAAATTCTATGAAAATGAGAAAACCCATCTTTAGGAAAAACTACTCCACCTAAACACTCCATCCTGGGCTGCAGCCAGGGACCTGGGCAGCAAAAAAAGCTGTGGCGTTTCTGTTGTCTGTGGCAGGCACGCAGCTCTGAACCCCAGCTCAGTGCTTGAGGCAGCTCAATGGCCAACAGAGGCCAGAGGCTGTAGAGTTCAGTGAGCTTAGGCTCACCCTTACCAGCCTGGTTGACAGCATGACCTGCCAGAAAGAGCAGTGACAAGGCTTGTGCGGTCTTGTAAGCCCTAAGCGTGATGCCCAATACTGGGTGGGGGTTCAGGAAGCAGTAGCTACTGTTGCCATTGTAACCAGTTAATTCCCTGCTCAGAGGATCTGCCAGCATTGTAACCAGTTAATTCCCTGCTCAGAGGATCTGCCAGCTCTCCTGGCAGGTCTGTGTCATGCACCGCCGGCTATCCAATGTGACTGATGCCTGTGTGCCAGCCTTGCGGGCACCAAGCTGAGCGAGGCTCACCCCTCCCCTTGAGAACCTGCTGGGAGGTGCGGAAGCCAGATGTAGCCGCACGCACGTGGTGTTCTTGGTGCTTTGAGAGCCGAGATCCTGAGGTCTCCGTGCCTTGCCAAGGAGTGTGGGCTGCTCCTGGAAACACAGAGGTGCCAACACCTCCCAACCTGCCTCCCTGTCAGAGTGAAGAGCCTCCTCTGGTCCCCTCTTGGTGTGGTCCTCAAAGGGGACCTCTCTCTGCCCTCTAGATTTTCTCCCTAGGACTTTAAGTCCTAAAATTTCCCCTTGGCAGGTGGGAAACGAAGAAATGTCAATAACTATCTATAGGATAGATATAGATGTCTACAGCGTCCGGGTGTGTGCTCCATGCCAGGCGCAGTGCCGAGCCTTTTTTTTTTTTGTATTTATTTTTGGCTGCATTGGGTCTTCGTTGCTGCACGTGGGCTTTCTCTAGTTGCGGAGAGCGGGGGCTACTCTTGGTTGCTGTGCGTGGGCTTCTCATTGCGGTGGCTTCTCTTGTTTCAGAGCACAGGCTCTAGGCACACAAGCTTCAGTAGTTGTGGCACATGGGCTTCAGCAGTTGTGGCACACAGGCTTCAGTAGTTGTGGCTCGTGGGCTCTAGAGCGCAGGCTCAGTAGTTGTGGCGCATGGGCTTAGTTGCTCCACGGCATGTGGGATCTTCCCAGACCAGGGCTCAAACCCGTGTCCCCTGCCTTGGCAGGCGGGTTCTTAACCACTGCACCACCAGAGAAGCCCAGTGCCGAGTCTTTACAGCATCGTCCCATTGAATCCTCCCACTGACCCCACAAAATAGGTACTGTTGCTGTCCACATTTCACAAATGGGGAAACTGGGGCACCAACTGCTGTCACGTGTTCAAGGTCACAGAGCTGCGGCACCACCCTCTCAAAACACCACACCGGTGGTTCTCAAACCCAGATCCCTTCAGAATCACTTCCAATGCCCAGGTGCCACCCCAGAACAACAGAACATGGCCTCTGGGGGCGAGGACTGAGATCTGGTCTGTTTTTAAAGCTGCCCAGGAGATCGTGCCATGCATTCAGGTTTGAGGGCCCCTGCCCTTCACCCTCCCACTGCTCAGAAGGAGCACCCCAGGTGTGATGGGGTAGATCTGTCAGATGCCAGGCTGCACCTAGGGAAGCACTCTCCTCCCGGCTGCCCCAGAAGAAGAAGGAGAGAGAGCAGGCCTTAGCCTGGCATGTCAGCCATTTCTCCCCAACAGGGCGACTGCGGGTGGGGGTGGGATTCCTAGGGCACAGAGCACAAAGGCTCCCTCTGCCCCCAGGCAGTGCCCAGACGCTACCCCACCCACCAGGTCCAGTCTAAGCTCTGCCCACAGCTGGGGCCAGCCCCTCGACCCCCTACATTCCAACAGGGACCCCATGAGGCAGGAACAGACAGGGCTTTCAGGATGCATGCCTGCCAGGGGGGATGAATTATTACCCCCCTGCTATGGCAGAATTATCTGCCATGAGCTCAGGGTGGCATTTCACGTGCCAAAGGTTGGCTGGCCCTGCCCTGGCCCTGGCCGCTTGGCTCCAGGGCCCTCATTCCAACTGTGCAAGGACAGAAACTTTATTCTCTTCCACTGCAAGAGGCCTCCGCCCCTCACCATCTGTGCAGCATCCCCCTCAGGGATCCCCCTGCCCCCACCCAGGGGCCAGGGCCTCCCTTCTCCATGGCTCAACACAGAGGGGATTAGATAGGGTGATTCCAAAGTCAAGTTTCCCAGGTCCTTTTAAGCCGGGGATTTTATTGACAGGGAAAGCCACTGTTCCCAAGATGTCCCACCCCAACCTGTCCTGCTTTCTGCATGAGGCCCTGACAGATTCGAACAGCTGCTGCAGCTGGAACAAGCTTCTTGTGGAAGGAGCCAGGGCTTTGGGAGCCAGACAGCCCTTGGTTTGAATCCCAGTTCTGCCACCTACCACCTGTGGAACTTGGGCACTCTACCTGAAGTCTCTGGTCTCAGTTTCCTCCTCTGTAAAATGGGGATGACAACCTTGATCTTCCAGGAATGTTGTGAGGTTGAAATGAGCTAATGGATGTGTGAAAGCACTGAGTGGGAGCACAGAGGGCGTACAGCAGGGCAAGGCACAATGCACCATGAGGGACCTCAAAGACAGACTTGGGGTATCACCCTCGGTCTGACCCCCAGGGCCTAAGGTCGGGCCAGACCCAAAGTGAGTTGTCGGCAAACGCGAGCATATCCTCAAACTGATGCTCTTCCTTGCCTTCTCTAACAGAGAGTGGAGAGGGCAAATGTCTTTCATTCAGTGAGCCTACTTGGATTGATTGGTAGTGGTCGTCTACGGGAGCTGCCCACGCAGGCCCAGGACAAGGGAGGACAGTGAGGGATCAGCAATGTTTGCCATGAGAACAAGAAGTTT